ATATCGGGAATGCCGTGCACTCCTTTCATTGAAGCTAAACGAATTCGTTTATCTAAGGGTTCGACACGCCTTCTATTAATGGATGATGCAATTTTTCGTCTAGGCCCGGCCCGTTTTGCTGGTATTGATATTCAAATTATCGCACAAGACCAGCGGTTACTCAAAATTGTAACTGCGTCTACCGATATCCCTGTTCGTGGTCACCTATCCCAATCACAATATACAGAAGAAATTACGACCTTATCCACACATTTCTTCAACTATTGGATGCCTATGTGGGGCAGAGACTCAGAGGCAGAATCTAAGTCTGAGGATTTGTGGTCTGAGTCATTCCAAGAAATTCTCCAGCATGTTCCCAAGCAAGAACCTCTTCAGGTCACGTGGAATGACCCTTTTCATATTCAGACAACCATCCATAAGATGAAACCTTACAAGGCGCCGGGGGCCGATGGCTGGCGTGCACAAGAACTTAAAATATTGCCTTTTGATGCTCTTCAGGATCTCGCTAATATTTTCGACAGGCTCTGGCCACATCAATTTTCTGAAGATCAAATGCTTGCCAGAGTCATCCTTCTTGCAAAGGTTCCGTCACCAGAATCCTTCTCGGATGGCCGACCCATCACAATCTTAGGCTATATCCCGCGCCTATCCTCTAAGATGATTGCCGACCAATGTTTGCAGGCATGGGGACAATCTTGGGACCCACAGATCGCTGGAGGCCTCCCCTTCCGCTCCGTCAAAGATATCACGATCCAACAACAATTTCTACTCGAAAAGGCACACAAGTCCAATACTCCACAAGGTGGATTCACACTAGACTTGGTTAAAGCCTTTAATTTAATTCCCCGTCAGGTTGCAAAGAAATTGCTCGTTCATATGGGTCTCTCAGAATTCATTGTTGATTTCTGGATTAAATCCCTAAACAATATGCAAAGGGTCTTGCAAATTCGGGGGAGATGTGGAACGTGTCTTCCGTCCACTACCGGAGTACCGGAAGGTGATGCTCTTTCGGTCTGCGCCATGTTGGCAATCGCAGCCTGTTTCTTCCATCGGATGTCCTTTTGTCAAGTCACCCCATTTACATATGCAGATAATTGGACTTTTATGTCCTCATCGCAGAGGTCCCTCTTTCGAGCCTTCACACATATGTTGAATTTCACGACCGCTCTGCGCATGAAAGTCGACTTAAAGAAGTCGTGGGGATGGGGAACCCATAAAGAAATGAGAGCTTTCTGGCAGAATATTGATCTTTTGTTTCCGGCACAAGAGATTAACATTCCTGTTAAGATCGCATCAAAAGACTTGGGCTGCGTGATGCAATACACACGAAAGACCCTCTTAGGATGTTTTACAGAGCGCATTAAAGCTGCCGGTCGCAGGTTAAACCGCCTAGGCAAGACACACATTCCTATCCACGACAAAGCCGCAAAAATTCAGGTCGCAGTCTGGCCACAGGCATTTTATGGTGCAGAAAGCCAATTATTGGGAGATGCCCACTTCAAACTTCTGCGACGTCAGGCCACAGATGCTTTGATAGGACATCACAAATTTGCTTCACCATATCTTGCTATGCACGTTATTTCCGAGCAAGTGGAAGACCCTCTGCTATATGTGATTGCTACTGGCTTGTGTAGTCTTAGACGATTGTTTTACTACCATCCTACTATGGCATCTGAAATGTGGCAAGAAATCTGTACTCCCTCCACATCCTATGGTCCGTGTGCAGCGATGGCAGGTTATTTAGCAAGGGTAGGCTGGAAACCGCAAGGTTTGTCTGAAGTAGTGATGCCCTGTGGTAACCAAGTATCACTTCAGCATCAATCGACACGTGAAATTCGCAAAATTCTTCGTCAGGCATGGTCGGGCTACGTTCATACTCAAACCGCGCATCGAAAAGGTATCACTGCCATGCCATGTGATGTGTTCATACAACATAGGATCCATCGACATCTCTCCGATCGGACTCTGCGCTTAATATTACTAGATTTAGTAGGTGGATACCAGACAGGGACAGTAAAGGCTATTTGGGACTCTACACAATCAGATAAGTGTGAATTTTGTGGGGCAACAGATAATCATATGCACAGGCAGTTGCAATGCCCAGATTTTGCACATTTGCGAACAGACCACTCCCAAGCTGTTGATTCCTTAGAGTCCCATCCTAACTTGCTATGGCTCCCGCTTGCCACAATTCACCCGCAACAGGTGGTTTACAATCGTCTTAAATGGTGCCGAGCAGGTCCTTTTTTGGATCACCCGGATATCCGACTCAAAGCTCACAACGAGTTTTATACGGACGGGACATGTGATCTCCCTCGTGAACAGAACTGTTGTCGTGCAGCCTGGTCTGTAGTTCAGAAAGTGGCCCATGATGCTAGAGACCCATCTCTCGATCATTTCGTTGTCTCGCAAACGTCTCACACTAAAGGACCACAAACCATCAATCGTAGTGAACTAGAAGCGGTAGTTTGGCTGGTAGAGTACTTTCATTGTCACTTCCCAGAAGCCAAAGTATCAATCTACACAGACTCGAGTTTCGTTACACGGAGCATTGAGGTACTGACCAGTGGGAGCTCAATTCCTCATGTATCCCGACTCGCGCATTTTGACTTGTTTCGGCGACTACAATTGGCTTGGAATCCACTCTTTCATCAAGTCTTTAAGGTTAAATCCCACCGAAATATAGAAGACGCTACGGGTGTGGATGATCTCTATACAATTCTAGGAAACTTTGCTGCAGATGAAGCCGCCAAAATTATTAATGCACAGGAAATGCCTGCACTTCAAGCAGCCTGTCAGGATATTCGTACTCATAGTAAGCAACAGACACAGGTCTTGTCCCACCTATACGCATACCTCGCCGACTTAAATAGTTTGCATGCGAAACTCAAACAGGAAAAGGAAAAAAGAGCGGCAGAGACACATGCTTATAATGCGCTAGAAGAGGTGACTAAGTATCAAGAAGTCTTGATGAAATGGAATATTGAAGCAAATTTTTGGCAATTCAATAGTCCACTTGAAACTATCATTGCACAAGCGTGCCCGGCGGGGGCCCATACTGCAGTCCGAGTCTGGAGTTTTATGAAAAAGCTCAAATGGCATCACCCCGATCAGAATCGCCTTCCCCAAGACTGGGGCATTTCCTGGTATGAACTTGTTATAGCTTTTCAACTTGATACAGGTTTTGCTTTGCCGATTTGGATATACCACAAAGGGGAAAAACTTCCTAAGCCATATCCTTTCTTGTCGGAAGAAGCACAAATCCAAAAACCAGAAAGCCGAAGTCTCTGGCACCAAGCTAATACACTTCGTGCTGTTGTTCGTTATTTAGAGAATACTTTGCAACAGCCCTTATTTCCAAAGTATAAGAAAAGTGGCGCTTCTTCCCTGGTGAGAATGGGATATCATAAGAGCCTTGTCGGAGGCATCTCATCTCGTCCGGTGCTTCTAGATCCAGTGGCAGTCATCGAAATAGTTAAAAACTACTCATCTCAACCAACTCAATCGTATCCACATCATGTACGCTTGGAACTCCCGCCGATTCCACATACTATGCCGTTGATTCCAGAGTGTACTGAAATCCCATTCCAGGATCGCAATGGATTGTACCAGCGTATTAAGAAATGCCTCCGAAATAAGCACTCGATAGCAGACATCTTCGCCAACAGCTGAGAGTTCGTGGCTAATTCATAATTCACCCTAGTGTGAGTTGTCGCTCTTTTCACACTATTTTGTGTATAGATGTGGGTATTCACAATTCACATGGCACATGTTTACTACTGTTTACCCTCTAGCACCCCACCTACGTGGAAGGGCTTTGAGGGGCGGACCGTTGGACCGTTCGCAAGTGAGTTTGGACATGGTGGTCACTTTTTTGTGGCAGGCGCAGGGGAAGCCTCGTGTTTTGGTGGTCCAAAGTCGGCAGTTCGTGACAGGTGCAAGGGATTGGTGATCTTCGAGGCGCCTACGAGCCATGGCCTCCAACCTAAGAGGAATGGTGTCCAACTTAAGAGCAAAGTTTTCCAACCTCGGAGCGATGGCCTCCAACCCAAGAGCCATGGCCTCCAACCCAAGAGCGATGGCCTCCAACCTAAGCAACCTGAGAGCAATGACCTCCAACCTAAGAGCAATGGCCTCCAACCTAAGAGGAATGGCCTCCAACCTAAGAGCAAAGACCTCGAGCCCAAGAGCCATGGCCTCTAACCCAAGAGCAATGGCCTCCAACCCAAGAGCCATGGCCTCCAACCCAAGGTCTCTGACTCTGACTCTTCACTCACTCTGACTCACAATCACTCACACTCACACTGATTCTAGAGTATATGTTAAGATGGTCTTATTTCTTACTTGTATCTTCTTGGGTTCTTCGTTATAAGATTGTAATTTCAATTGGAAACGAAATCAACGAAAATCCATAAAACTATAACTTATGAACAGACTTGTAGCCAATATATTACTTCCCACAGATGAAAGCATCTGCCATGAGAGGTCGGTACTGGGGTGTGGGGGTAGCATATATATCACCCAGCGCAACCAGTCTCCACGCGTGAAACGTGGCTGGTCTTGTACCAGGCCACAGGCCTAAGTACAAAAAAACCCTGATGCATGTGAGAAACTATTATGTATATAGCCTTAAATTCGACCCGGCAAAAAGATGTGACTGTATGACGACCTGAACTTTATCAAATCTATTTTCGATCACAACCCCAACCCCCCCCCCCACAAAACCATTTTTTAGAATAGTGGTGAGTCTCTAGCGGCTGGCTTCCTGTGTGACAACCTGTGGATGGAATTGGCCATATTGGTCCATTGGGCAAAAACCACCGTGTGGACACTCTATTCTTGAGCGAACTTGCTTGGGCAAAATGAACTAAGCAAGGCGGGTCCATCTTCTGACAGATGACCCGTTCGAGTCCTCAAATTTGCCTCAAGGTCAAACAGTGGGTCAACTCGGGGATTCCTTGACAGCTTTTCGCGATGCGAGAAACGTCCCGCTTCGCCAGGTGGAAAGGATGGTGGTTTGGAGACCAGGTCGGCGGCCTTCAGGCGGGTGGAGACAGGAGATGGACCTGGTGACAGGGCAACATGGTGTTTTTTTTTGGGAGGAACATCCTGAAATTATCTAAATTCTATGGTTAGTTTGGGGTCAGCCATTCGACCCAAATACAGCTCGTAGCAGTGCTCCTATTCAAGCATTTCGTGATATTGGTTCCCAATGGTGCCAGCGACCTTGCTCCCATGAGCCTTGACCAATGTCGAAAGCCAGCTACTCTTAGAACCAAACTTCATTCAAGTTTCGATCGCAGCTTATGATCATGTTAAGATGCAAAAACACATTTGCGCTCCACACATGCAACTTCTTAGTGCAAATACGTGTATGAGTTGAAGACATTTTGAGCTAGTCTGTCCCTTTTCGTGCCAGGGTTTGTCCTTCAGTCTCAATTGTTGGGATTGGTCATGTATTTGGTAGAGTACGGCAAAGATATTGAGTGGCTCCTAAAGAGTCCCATGAGTCAATGAGCTTTACCTTTTCCATATTTCCACGTGACCAAGTTCCTAAAGTCACCTGAAACAAAGCTCTTTGCGGCGATGTTTTGTTCTGATGGAGAAACCGTTGAGGGCATGTGGTCCATATGTCAACCCAGGCAGTGGCCAAACCATGCGTTTTCCCTTAAAACCCTTTCTGTGAAACATGGGTTTTCCCAAAAACTGAACGCAGAGGTTTCAACAGGTTCACTTCTATTTTCCAATGAACTCTCAGAGTCCATAGACCTTCCAATTTGCCAAACATCCTCGCACCAGACACGAACCGGCGCAGCGCAGGTCTGGTCGTTTCAGAAGAGCGATGCAATGAAGCCGCCCCAGGAAGGCTGGCAGGTGCCTTTCGATGGGCCAGCCCGGGGTGCTCAGATGGATCGTGACGCGAAGCGTGGCCTTGACCACGCGTGATTCGTGTCGTGTCTGGCGTTTGCGTGTGCGTGTCTTTTTGTAGCAGCTTTGGGGGGTCGCAGACCCAGTGAAGTCTGGCAAGTCCAAGGAGCGAGTCTGGAAACAGGAGATTTCATCGCCCGCGTTGATTTTTTGACTTGAAGTTCCCACCAGTCCAAGAGTGGATCCTCTTGAGATCCAGCGTATGCTCGTACGACGTATGCTCTGGCTCCGAGCGAGGTTCGATCTGAGCTCAATGTGCTGGTGAATCCCAAGGTGGAGCCAACGGGGGTGACCAAGGCGAGGACAAACAAATATGTTGTGAACGCAGATCGCATGGGGAAGTTGCACTGTATTGCATGTAGTGGCACATTCAACTTGAGTCCCTCTCCCTGTGGAAGAGCTACCAGCTACCAAGTCATAGGACCCGTAACCTGGGGTACCTGTGAAATATCGGTCTATAGTCTTAGGGTTCTTGAATCTGTTGGTACCGGTGCCGCAGAAGTACCTTCTATATAGATCATTATGGAGTGGGCTTGACCTGCCACGCAGAGTCGACTCCAAGCGGAGTCGACCCGCAGGTGCCCCCTCCGCAACCCAAAGCGTCAGTGCAGAGCTCTGTCCGGCCTGCACCGCAAGCGAAGTGGGAAAGCACCAAAGTGGAGCCGGAGGCCTCCCAGCCGGGGGGGGGAGGTGCTGATGGTTGATTCTAGTACAAGAACCCACTGGAGATGTACAACCATTCTGGTAGGGGGGTTTATTCATCAACACCTCACGCAAGTTCGGACCAACAAAGGTTGACATCATGGTGAGATGTAGAAGAGGGTCCCGGTTTCAGTGGTGGCTGGCTAGAACACTCTGGGAGTCAGGTCATGGTAGGGTCCTTAAAAACCCTGATCGGTCCTTGGTCATCGGGTCAGCCTGTTGTAGACAGGACCTGCTGCAGGGTGAGATTTCGATGAGCAGGGATCGAAGTTCCAAATGATAGGTAAGCTGGTCGCCCGTGGTTCATGTTGACCATTTTAGTTGGGTAGATGCTAGACATCAATTGGTGTTTAAGTTGAACACCCTACGCATAACCAACCCCCCTACATCCCCTTTCCAAGGGATGCCCCCACGTATGTAACTCATGCCATATCATGCCAATGCCAACACTCATTTCAAGGATATACGCCATCTCTGACCATCTCACCCATCCACATGCAATTACATGCAGTCTCGGTGACATTGAAGTCCAGCGTTCAACACTCGCGTTCGGTGACATGTCCGGTTCACCGCCCGTGTTCGGCTTGGTTCGAACAATCCGGTGGCGGTTCTCGATCGCATCGCAACGGTGGTGGGACACCACCGACCGCGGTGGCCACCCACGTCGACCGCCAGGTGGTGGAGGTCGACGATGAGATGGAGGATGCAAAAGCAAGAGCTGCAGCTTTGGATGCCCGGTACAAGCGCCGAGTGGCACAGGTCAGGTGGGGTGGAGGTGCTGGGGGCCCAACACTGTGGATGCCATTCCCCAACCCCTTCCGTTTCAAAAGATGAAGGTGAACCTGGAGAACATATTCCTTGCTGGTTTAGGGGGGATCGATTGGATGTGACGCCCAAAGTTCATCGCTGGGGAGGCAAGGAGGCGAAGGATCAACATGCTAATCATATATATATAGTTCATATATCCATATATATCCCCTGCCGAATATCCTCTATAAAGGAGGTGAGTTTTTTCCATCCCGAAAGCGTTGGAACTTCAAGCGAAAGCTTTGAACAGGCAGAGAGTTGCGTTCGACCGGTTCTTGGGTATGGGTATGGGAGAGCGAAGCGGTTTTTGGAAGCAGAACAGTCACGTCACGTCTTTACTAAGTCACAAGGCTTTTTCAGCAGTTCCAAGGTCCAAACAAATGTTTTATCGAAGTTCCCCAACAGTCGCAGAAATGTTCCGACCTTCGGCCCCTTTTCTTCCTAGCCTCTTGTAGCGGAGTAGGTTGTTGTACTCGTTCAGCTTGTATTTACCCGTACAAAATAGGTGTTTTGAAGCTGAGCATCCAGACCATGCCTTCGGATGGGCAGGCTACAGCCAGGGTCAGCAATGTGGAAGAGCACTTGAAGAAGGCTGCGGGACCTGGGCAGCGGACCAGTTTCTTCTGCACGGTTTTCGAACGCTTTTGAGATATATTTTGCCATGAGTCTACAGTTGAGACAAATGTTATGAATGTTGTATTGTGTTGCTCTTTTTGAATGAAGGGTTGTGGGTGAACCCTGCGACCCAAAGGAGATGAGGCAGATGAGGATCCAGCCAGATCCCCAAGCCAAACCTCAGGTGGCTGTGGAGACCTTAAACTGGTTTTTCAAACCAGCTCCTGGACCTTTTTCTATTGTTTTTTCTTCTCTGACATCGATTTGCGGTCCAACCACTGCAACCACATCTTATACCTCTTGTATCCCTTGTGTCCTTTGGTCTGGGTGAACAAACCCCCTGCAACCACCGTGTTGGGGTCGGGGTCTGGGGGGTCGGACGGGGTCGGGGATCGGACGGGTCGCTACCGTTCGGGGGGACCGACGTGTCTCGTGTCGTAGACACGAAGAGGACGAAGACGGAAGAGGACCTTCTCGTTTAGGACGCACCGTTTCTTTGACAGAACTTTTTTGATTGTGACCCTACAGAAGTCAAAAGCTAGATGTTTTTTTGGATTGTTTCGGTGTTCACATCTTTCAAGTCAGACCTCCGGCTGCTTTTTCACCACGTCCGTCATGGAGCCCCTGGGCGACGTCATGACTAGACCTGTCAGATCGTCCGCGCGCCGGGAATTGCGCGGTCAGGCCTTGGCCGCGCTGGGTGAGCTGTTGCCCACCGATGGCCAGGCGGTGATGCAGGCGCGAAAGAGATGGAAGGGTTTGGCTGTGCCGGGTGTTGTGCCGCTGGAAGCCTTTCCCTGAGGCATTACAGTGGTTTCAGAGTAGATGGCACGGACCCCCAAGATGTCTTTTGGATGGGGGTCCGGGGGTCCATATAAACCATGCTTGGATTTTGTCATCTACTCTCAATCCTCTGTAAAACTACACTCCCAGAACTTACGAGGAAGTGAATCTCGCCGAGGGCGCTGTTTACAAGGAAGTGAATCTCGAAGAGAAAGTATATCAGGTTGTGGGCATAAAATTCTGGCCATTTGCATGAAGACTGACAATTGCATGAGTTTTCCAACGTCCCAAAGTACTAGTATAGGGCTCCCAGCAGAGTTGCTAGAAAGCTTTCATGTTTGTCACAAAACCGCCAGGCGCGAAAGCAGCTCTTGGTGCATCAGCTGGGAGCTTTGGGTCAGTTCAGCCATTTTCCGCTGGATCACATAGAGGCGATATGAGGCGATGCTGATGGCCGCCCTTCTCTCTTTCTCTCTCTCTCTCTCTTTCTTTCTCTCTTTCTTTCTTTCTTTCCTTCCTTCCTTCTTTCTTTCTTTCTTTCCTTCCTTCCTTCTTTCTTTCTTTCTTTCTTTCTTTCTCTCTCTCTCTCTTGATAAGACCATATAAGACCACTTTTTGTGCGGCATGTCTATCTACAGTTTTCGATACGTGTTAGGTGTCCATCTCAGACAGGTGGAATACCAAATTAATCCTCAGCGCCCGGGACAATCCTTCAATACCTTGGAGGATAGATGACCTACAGGTCACGACTGGAAGCTGCTCTTGTTTAACGCCCGGAAGAAACGACTCTATTTTGAATTTTAGCACGTCCTTGAAGCAACGCCACACAGACTTGAGGGATGAGTCTGTTGTTGGATGAAGTGGACCACGAACAGTGGCTGGCATGTCTGGAAGCTCTGGCATCGCAGGGGCGGACACATTTCTTCATCCGGACCCGCCTGTGCGGGAACACCTGAGCCGGAACACCCGGTTTCCCATGCCCTGAGGCAGAAGCTGACGGAGGTGCAAAAGTTCGTGTCCGCCGAGAACTTGGCTGCGAAGGCGTTCCCACACGTGGACGGGCGCCGCCACATGGCCGCCATACACGTGGACGGGCGCCGAACCGAGGTCGTGACGGGCTGGGAGCGCCCGATGCAGTCCGCGATGTTTGAGGAAATCAGAATACTCATGATCTCTATTCCTGGCAGTTTGGGATGCGGAATGAAGTGTCTTTTTCTCAAAAGGAGAAAGCCCCCTTACTGTAAGCCATGGGCTGAAGCATGAATCCTCATTATATGGAATTTATAGTCCGAGTCTTCCTATCTAAACATATCTATACACCATTAACTTCGGGCGAGTCTCTAGTTTATCCTTGTTTGTTCAGACCATGTGGCTGTTGCCAGAAACGTGGACCAGCAGCCTCCAGGTGTCTTCTGCTTTGGAAAGTCGATGGTGACACTCCAGAGAGGTTGGTAGAAACATAATACTTAGATGTTGACAAGCATCACAAATACTTTCGACCCGAGCCGCTTCTTGGGCGTGTAGCCAATCGCAACCAGTTGGCTTGAGACCTGTTAGGGCCTCACAACCCTCTATAGGAGACCTGTTGGAGGATGCTGGTAGATGTGTATCAGCGGTTTGCAAGACCCCGCCATTTCCGCGGGTTTGGGCCGCTGAAGCAATTTCCCCAAACAGGCGGGAGCCAGGCTGAAGGAAACTCCAGGTCATGGTTCGACCAAACAACTGTTCCGGGGGAGTCGCCAAAAAGACCAGGGAGTTCTGTAGAAGCTCCCCTCCCAGGTGGTCTAAGGGAAGAATCCTCCTTGAATCTTGGGATTCTTCGGGCTGAAGAGTCCCTATCCAACGGTTTCAAGAGTTTTGGAGTGGCTGGAGACTCAGTTCCTACCCTCCAATAGAGGTTGAAGGACCCTATAGACTCTTTCATATAGGTACCCCAGTGAGTAGGGTCCGATAAGGTCACTTGACCTCTGCTGTACGGCAGCCGATGGAGCCATTGGGGTGTCCTCCGTGTGCCGCGTGCCAGACTGCGCCAATGATGGTGAGACAGGGGCTGGAGAGCCTCATCCGCAAGCTCCGGGCATTGCAGGCAGGCCTTGGTGAAAACATCCGAACCCTGTTGAACCCTACAGGATCCTACAGGTCAGTTGGATCTGATTTGACTGAAGTTGATCATACAAGAAGACGACTCAAAGAGGTCAAGGACCAGTTTTTTCTGGGTCTTTGGACAGGGTAAAACATCCCTTTGCTACCTTTTAGGGGATGCAACGGCCGGATTTGGTCCGGGCCGTCCGTGTGGGACGGAGGGCATGGCCCCGAAAGGACGACCAGCGAACCCCGAAAGGACGACGACGCCACGAACGAAGACCAAAGGGGGGTGGGTCCACATCAACGACAAGCCTTTCTGAGGGAGTTTGTAAGTTGCTACTTGATGTGAACCGAGCTGGTAAGCTGTGTTGCAGGGAGGGTAGCCTTCAACCACCTCAAGAGAGGGTAGCTCTCGTCTCACGGTCGTTCTCGTCTCAGTCATCATCACGCGCTCTCGTGCGCCTTCTCGAGCAGTTCTCGAGCACTCTCGCGCCAGGCCGAGGTCAAGCAGGCTCTTCTGGGCCTTCCCAGTCCGGTGAAGGCGGGTTTCCCGAGCATCATGAAAGCAGTTAACTGGCCGAAACTAGCTCTTTTTGTATTTTTTTGTCTTATATGTTTGGCAAAACAAGCCGCATGCCTTCACAGTTCCCCCATTTTGAGACCGTGAATGCCCTGAAATCTATGGACATCTGGCAGGCTGAGAGACATGTTGTTCGGACCTTCTCCCATCTGAATATCTCCAGGCTGAGACCGTGCCAACACCCGCCTACACCCCGATGGTGCCGCGGCCAGAGAGGGTGTTTGTGTGGGCAGTTGGTAGGAAGGGACCGAAGGGATGTGAGAAACCAGTTTGACTCAGAGAAAAGCCGTTTGCATACATACATATATGATCATATATGTGTATATATGTACAATTTTGTAAAACATATATACACACAATGTGCAATCCACGTCGTCGGCAGACGAAATGCTGTGTTTACCGAAGGATGAAGCTTCCCTAGTTGCTGCGAAGACCATGGAGCTGTTGTGTGATGGTATTTTCTAGGGTATTTACAGCCTTGGAGTCAACAGGTAAGACAGTAGGTAATATAGATATGCTGTATACGTTGGTGTATGGTAAAACATGGTGTGATGCCAATCGATGGACCTTTATTATACAACATTATACAGACCTTGTAGAGCACGCAAACTGCGAGATTAGCCTCTCTGCAACCAACATGGAAGTGGACAACCAACTGCTTGCAGAGGAAAAATATGTCTTTCGCAGGGCCGCAGGGCATTTTTCCATTTCCATGATTGTTGGAGGGAAGGTATATAAGTGGCTTCGACTAGATTGATGAACCATAACGCATCACAAAGCAGGGCCATTGTTCGGCGAGCGAACGCTGAGGAACACGAGCACTTGCAGCAGCTGGAGGCGAAGCGCGATGTCACGACATCGTTGAGTGCGAAATACGGCCTGGTAGACCGGGGGCTAAGGTCTACCTGGTTTTGCTTAGGATCTCCGGGTGACTCCCCAGAATGGGGAATGCTTGGTCACAGAATCTGGCGAAGAATGGAGAACATCGGATGCAGTCGTGGTAATCAGAACTTGTGCTGAATTATCCGGTGAACTGTCGCCGTGATGCTGTTCTTGTAGTTTCTTCGGTGTGACCTCATGCAGCGTGTTTTCATGCTGGGCTGGCGGGAGGGCTGGCAGAAGTGAGTGCGGCGTGGGCGTGAAGCTTTGCTTCCCACAGGAGATGATGCCATCGGTCCTCGAGAAGATCGACCAAGCGGAGGACGAGGTAGAGAAGGTGCCACCAGTACCGAAGACATCTTTGACTATAGGGGTCAGTTAATGTGACATCTGTAGTGGTCCCCAAATAGATAGAAGAGTAGATCCCGAATCCCCACGTTCAGAATATATCGGAAAGCGTGCCACTATCTATTTGGGGATCAGTTTTTGTTGTTTTCGACACACATGGTTGCTTTTAATACAGTATAAATCTGGGCGACTGGCTGACTGGCATCCATTTTTGAGGAAGGCTGGTTGATATGTTCATGGACAGGGTTGGAACACAACGAGGAATCTGAGAATCTGGTCCTTGCGACTTGCAGCAGTGAGCGATTTTGGGAGGGCTTCCTGCTAGCTGCTACCCCTTGTTTCTGTACGTTTTGTCCAGAAGTATTCAGTATTCCAAGAGTTTGATATATATATATATATACATGTATAAATAATAGTTTGATTGATATTCCCAGAATATTGAATATGTCCCTCAAACGGTTAACACATCCTCAAACGCTTCCCGGGTTTGCTTGTAACACTCTTTCTTCACCGGAGTCTTCATCACCGCACCGGTGGAACAACGACCAGCTCGGTGGACCGCCGCAGGTGACCATCGCAGCGGCGCCGCTGCAGGTGGAGAGTGGAGAGGAGCTTCGGCCCGTGATGCTGCAGGCAGGGTTGGACGCGGGAGTTGATGGACCCCCGCAAAGTGGAAGAGGTGAAGATCCCTCGGTTTTTCCCCTTTGGTTGGTGGAGAGTGGGTTTGGAAGAGTGGGACTGGTGTTTGGAAGAGGAATTTTGATATGTTGAGGTGGTCTTGGCACCAGGATACCGAGCGGTTGACCTACCGGCGGTAGTCCAGCGACATGGTGGACTGGTCGGGCTCCAGGTTTGGACCAATCCCCCGCTATGCTGAGATTGCAAAGAAAAGACATGACAGCTTGTTGGGATGGATCGATGATCTTAGAAGGCAGCGACTGACACTTCCTTGATCCAACTTGATCCAGTTGTAATTTACACAGGGATCAACGACAGAATTTCCCACGCTGGCGAAGTCTGACCAGAAGGTCTATGGAATGAGGAATAGAATGCTCTACCGTGCAACACTCCGACTGACTGACATGGAAATGGAGGACCATGGAGCCTGGAAAGACTATACCTCTATATAATTCAACTTGTTTTCCGGCTTTCAACATCTGATGTTGGTGTGTCGGAGTTGCTAAACATCCGACAATCCAGGAATCCAAGTCTACCAGATGTCGAGTGGCCACTGAAGTTGTCGGCCACTGAAGAGGTGGCCACTGAAGGTGTCTCGGACCAGAGAGGTGGTGCTGAGCAAGAGCTTCTTTGTTCGCTACTCCTTCACGAGGCCTCAGAATCCCCAAAATGTTGCACCCACAAAAGTTCATGGACCCTCAAACTCCTACATCTTTGAGGTCCCCAAATCCTGTTTGTGAGGCTCAAAACCCCAGCACATGAGGGTCCTTTCACAGCCAATCAGGATCCACACCTGCTCCTTCAGAGCCGTCACGGCGGACGGTTCGTCGGTCGCCCGTCCATCGACCCCATCGAACTCCGCACGTGAAACCGCTCCGTCTCTGGCCAGGCTCAATTAGATAGGACTGGCCAGTGGAGCCGCTGAGGGCAGAAAGGCTGACAGGGCCTCCATACTCCAGATTAAGCTTCTGCTTTGGGTGTTGGAAGTTCTTAATGAAGCTCTATAGCATCCTCTTTTCCATTTCGCTCAGCTGCTCAAATCTGCTCGTTTGCTTGTGAAGCTTCAGAAACACACCCCATTTCCAGCCCTTTCCCGGCCACGCGCGCGACACCGGGACACCGCTGCGGCCGTCGGGCGCCGCGACGGGATGGCGGGCTTCGATGGCGAGCGGGGCTCGGTGTGGCGGGCGGCCAAAGCGCAGCTCTACCTGTCCGAGGCGGCACAGGCGCGGTGCCCGGACTTCTCGCAAGGCGGTTGGTGGGCGGCGTTGGGACTGGAGGTCGGTTCGGCGAGCCGCCAGACTTTCGAAGGGTTTGCGAGGCATTGGATATGAAGATCCAGAGAGTTGCACAAGCATTAATGAGTGCATTAATGTAGTTGATTGGTTTGTATCTTATGTTTCTCTTTTCTGAATTACACTTTTTTGGACAGTTTGTTGGATGGTCATGGTACTTATTTGGATGATATGGGAAAAAGAAAGTGATGTGGCCACGAAAGTAGAGGTGGCTGATGACTGGTGGGTGGTGGGCGTTCAACTCATATGCGATTGCAAATTGATGAGGAAAAAGGCTGGTTTGGCTTTGGGTCATGGCTCCAGGATACCTGCCGTTCACTTTGTACCATGGTCTGGACGCGTGAGACATGTTGAGACATCAACTTAATTTACATCGTCGGTGTAGATAGGATATGGAGCAATCAAAAAGAAGCGTGCAATGGAAAGGATGCAACTTATCGTGGATGAGTTCCTGTAGCTATTTGCTGAAAGAACAGGCTTGTGTTGTGAACCATCACTACAACTCTGTTGGAAGACGAGCTCTCCTTCACAGGACAAAAATCATAATCGAAGATCCCAACTTTTTAATTATGCATAAGGTGCAAATCTCTTCCAACTGGTGAGTGATAGCTGGTAGCCACGGTCGATGATGCAAGGTTCGGCAGTGGATGATTTGGAAGACAGAGTCTCCAAATGCCTACGAAATCAGCAGGACACTTGAAGCCTACAGAGGTTTTAGAGGTTCGATGGCACAGACCGAGGTCTTGAACAGATGGGGGTCCAAACCCAACTTCGGGGCCCTCTGTGCCGTCAAAATCCTTTGAAACCACCCAACTTGGCGCGAACCTGGGCTCTCATTCTCAGGATTTATCAGGCAAACTTCATTGACTACTTCCAACATCCTCCATGCTCTGGTGTTGGGCCCTATTTGATCCTATTTGTCCACTTAAGTTCAGGGAAGACTACTTCATTCACTTCATCAATCTTCTAGATCCTTTGGATCTCACCTTCCCAGAGTCTAGTTGAACCCTGTTATAACCCTCCACGGTGGGTCATCAGCTTGGGGCCGTCTCTGCTTCGCACGGCAGGTGAAGCGACTGGTGGGTGCCGAGCGGATCCATCGCAACAAGGCGCCCAGCTGGGTGAGGTTTGGGCGTGGAACTGGTGGGGAATGGGCGTTGAGCGGTTTTTTGAACTGAAGAACTTGCTTTGAGATTTCTCTCTCACTCTCTCTCGCTCTCGCTTTCTCTTTCCCTCTCTCTCTCTCTATTTTTTCCTCTCTCTATCTTTTTTTTGAGATTCCCTCAATAGGTATTGCGCTTCATGTTGTTTCGATTGATATGTTTCGCAGGTGCAACCAGTTGAGAACCCGTGGTTGATGTGGATGATTACCCCAAAAAATCCAGACAGATCACAAGCTCATTCCAAGTCACTCTCCCTTCCGGAAAGCACTAGCGGTTTGTCAGACAAGGGGCCAAAGGTGATGTGAGTTTACCATTATATGATTTCTCCACAAGTGCAACCTTGCCAGACGGTCGTCCAAACTTTTGCTTAAGGAACTTACACCCTTTGTCTCTAACCATCCGACAAGAAGCAGTTCAACTTTCCACTTTTCTTGGTCAACCCACGAGCTGGGGGTTTGCCATGCAAGCTCAAACTTCCCCATGCTTCCCTCTTCTCACCAGAACTTCGATGCGTTAGTTTGGGGTCTATATAATCCCGACGTTAAAGGACAGGTAAGGATTGCTCGGGGCCCACTCCATCCTGTCGCCGTCGCTGCTTCCAGGATGCTCTTCGAGAGCTCAGCTGCTTCCAGGAGCAGCGATGGCCACCGCTTGGATCGCTACAGAAGTGCACGGAAGTGCAAGCACATGAAGAATCATGAAGATCCCGGGTGATGTTGCGTGAACCACTGGGTGTCAGTTGTGGCTGGGGCAACTGGATTGTTCGGACAAAGTCCTTGGAAGAACTTATATAATGCCTTCCCAACAGCAGTTGCCTTGCTACCCACGATCATGGCCTCCCTCCAGATCATGGTTGGCGGTTGTACAGTCTGCTCTGCTAGCTCATTTGGGTGTGTACACCCGGGTAGACTGGTCTCATTTTGCTTCTTCCAGGGGGTCTTTCACTGGGAGGTCTCCCTAGGTCGAACTGGGAGGTCTCCCTAGGTCTTTGGGTTGGCGGTTCTACTCCCTACTCGATGATCTTCCGATTCTGCAGGAGATCCTGGGCGATCTGCACGCGGGGCAGTTCGGCCGCGCGCCCGAGCGGCGGCAGGCGGCCGAGGAGGCGCAGCGGCGCTGGGAGCGGCTGTCGCTTGGGTGGAGTGGGAATCCGGTTGAGAGGGAAGGGTTAATCACTGTACTTAACTAAATATACATGAGTTAATCCTACATGATCCTATGCACTGAATGAATTTAGTATAGATGTTTTCTTCCCCACTATGACCTACTAGGGTTGAATGTACTTAATCCTATAGGGGATCCTGTCTTTCCATGTTAAAAAGAACATGAAGTTCGCAACAACTCTGCAGATGCTTGATGTTGGAGCATCCTGGTTTCTCAGGGGTTTTGTTCACAGTCAGACGACTCCACTTCAAGGTGCTAAGGGGTAGAAGCGTGCAAGCGCGGCAGAGCAACTCTTGGAAACTGATATCGATCCAAATATTCTAAATAGTTGAGCTTGCCATTAGATGATCTTTGAAGCGCAATCCTCGTAATTAGTGTGAAATCCAAAGACGCTGGTTCTACAGATAGCTAGAACCAATTAATATGGTGACAATTGGTGACATGCTGGTCGGAATTAAACATGAATAAAGGGAGAGTAGTCTTCCAAGAGCTGTCCACTTGCATGATTTGATGGCAAGCATACCGGATACCGAAATGATGGCACAAGACATCAAGACAATTGATCTACGCCATCAAATATACGCCGAACTCCGCGCCTTCACGGCAGGGAGTATACTTGCATTCAAGTCAACAGCCGTGGGTTTGTGCCCGCTTGCGGCCGTGGGTCTGCGTCCTCCCACCCAGGAAATTGGAAGCGCAACGGCATGGTGTGAAAGCTGAAACCATCTGCGAAGTGCCTGCCAACATCCTGTCCTATGTGAGCCATGGCTGAATAGGGACATGACCATCTGGTGGACGAGGAACTTACTAGTGGTTTACCATAAGCCTTCAGATTCATTTCTACCTGCAATCGCCTAGACTTTGTTTGGGTGTTGGGCGTGATGGGCATTCGCGCAGGGTTAAACTCGACCAACCCACGGCCCTGGTAGAAGGGAACAGGAAACGAATTGTTGCAATTGCGTGGTGAGAGATCGGGTTTTCGACGCCCAAAGTCCCTTTTATGTGCATCTTGGGCTTGCTTGGTTTAGTATTGCCTGCCATTGCCTGAGAATCTGAAATGAAGATTAATTCTGAGTATCGATGAGTGATTAGCCCAACTGGTCCAGGGCAAATGTTTTTTTTTCTAATTTAAGCCATGTATGTTTGGAAGCCTTTACCGTGCTCGTTGAAAGAAAGATCTGTTTGCTTCCGATTCCGGCGGACCCAGTGGACCGACCAAGCCACGTAGCGGCAAACCGACCGGGGACGTCCACTAGAACCATGAGTGGTTCATGCATTGAAAACACCTAGAAGTATCTATTAGGGTAGTAGAATGGTAGCCTTTTGGGGTTGTCCTTTTTGGGGGGAGGATCTGCAAAAAACATGCATGTATGATATAGGCAACATGTTGGGTCAACGGGGGGGGGATACCCGCCCCGAAGCACGTGGTCTGGTTTTTTCGGGTTTGGGGGGGGGGTGGGGGGTGGGGTCAGTTTCATCCTGGTTACGACTCGCGTACATCGTCTACGTACTTCATTGGTCCACCCGGTCACGATTCGTTCGCTGGACGACCCGCTTGTCTGGGACCCATGCTGCTCGAGAAACAGAGCAAAGTTACGGTCGTTGGTGGAGACCAAGGTACAGAAAGCTTGGCAGCAGTGATGAAAAAATCACTGCGTAGAATGGGTTTGCTTGGCCGTTGCGACGCGAAGCTGCAACGCCAGCACGTTGAAGGCCTCGCAGCATTGTGGTTCAGCCAACATCCTGGGTTGGACGCAATGCTCGAGGCTGTCAGGATACATAGAGAAGCTGTGCAAGACACTTGTCCGCCAGCTGCCATGTATACTGAGCTGAAATGGCTCCACTGGGACCAAGACTAATGCCTACCAGGTGGAAAATCCCTTTCGCGCCATGGACAAGGAGCAGGTGGGTCGGTGAATACGTCCGTCAAAATGCATTCAACTTATCGTCTTGCAACTCATGAGTTGCAAGACGATAAGTTGAGTGTCCGGAAAGCCACTTTACCCTGTAAAAAACAAGGTTTTTTGACCCTCGGTGCGTTGCGTCCGGGGCTAACCCCCCCCGTTTACCCAACATGTTGCAACCCTGTCTGTCTACAGATGTTGTTTTCAGCCCGAAGAACCCGCCGGATGGCACTTGGCAGTTACGATCCTATCGCTTTTTTCACGCCAGCAGGTTTGCAAGATCAGAAACTCGACAGGTCTTGCAAGAAGCCGGCAGCGGGTGGCGGGTGGTGTACTGGAAATGGTTCAGAAGATCGCCCCTGCTGAGCGACGGGTCTTCGTTGACCGCGACGGGTGGGACGGGTCTGACTGAGTCTATGCACGCGCCGTCCAGACGGGGAAGGCGGAGCGCCGTCCCAGGCAGTGCCTGGGATCCTGCGGATCTCCGCCTTCGAAAAGCCTCGTGGAGGATGAGGCAGGTGGGAGGAATCAGGCCCCGCGCGTGGTGGAAACCACGCGTGGGACCCGATGGAGGCGCGAAAAACAGGTAACTGCCAGGCTAAGCAGCCCAGATGGTGACCGTGCTGAAGTCAAACCTGTTGAGGGGTGGAGACTGCTGAAGTGCTTGGAAGATCTAATGATGTGAATTAGGAATTTTGGGTGAAAAGATTGCCCAAGAGTGACCCGTCAGAAAAGAGTGCCAAGCCCCGCACCTGGCCTTTTCCTATCAGAACGAGTTCCACTTGCCCAGACACTCCATGGGACTGCCATATACGCCGCCCCATTGACCCCCCTGGCACCACCCCTGGCCTGATCAGTATATATGCCAGTCCCACTGGCCGAATGCGAACCTCGATGCGAACTCGAAGGTCATTGAGATCCTGGGCCGCCCTCAGGGCCTGGAACCACGAGCGCTCCGTTCGCGTTCGCGGGCCGCCAGGAGAGCTTCACGTGTGCCTCCTCGACACGAGCGCCCAGCACCAGCGCTCGGGTGGATGAGACCTTGAGCTTGGCCACAGCCGAGTTAGCAGCTCGACCGGAGTTCGCCACGGATGTTTGTAGTGCATGAACCGATTCTGATGCTTCCCACGAGATCTCAGTGACCACTGATACACAGGAACCATGATCCAGGGTCCGATGGGTCCGATGGTTTGAGTCTGTGGAACAACTGGTTACCAGCTCTAACTAGATCCACTGGGCTTGTTTCATGGTGGATCTCACACGGCCAGGTCGGCCAGGTCGGCCAGGTCGTGGTGACCATCGGATTGGCCGACCTGGAGCGTTGTGCTGGTGGTTGAAAAGGGGTATTTCATGCCATACCTGTTGAGCCTGAGTGACCTCAAGTTGAACCACTAGCCACCCCAAATATGCGGTCTTTTCCTCTCCAAAAACAAAGGTCATGTACTGGGCTCTATAGGTATCTATATAGGTATACATGATTATACAGAATTTACATGGAGTCTTTTGCAAGTCTCCCAAAACCCACTCTACTCTGCATTCTGCATGACTTTTCGTGGCTTCGGTTCGGAAAACTCCGTTTCCTCGGAGGTCTCGGAGATTCGTCTCTTGGATGATTGGCCACCCGGCGCCCGGCAACGCCGCCACAGCACGGCCACTGGGCAGACTTTCAGTCCACAACCGGCATGGCCGGCGCATGAACGCGTTGCTTTGAACATGAACGTGTTGGACGTCCAAATGGTGTTTTGGATCGGGTGGCTTTGGAAGGCTTTGGAAGTCTTTGGAAGGCTTTGGTGGTTTCTTTCTCACGTAAAACGTGGTGGTTTCAGCTTTCATCCTGTGACTGCTGTGAGACGGCCCCGGTCAGACCGGTCAACATCGGTGTGCACGCTTTTGTTCCAACGCATCCAGCTGACCCCTACAGATCCTGCAGCTCCAACCACCTCGTGAGAAGATGATAGAAGATGGTTGGGGTGGGTGCCAGGGGGGTCTAACCACGAACCTGAGGATATGGGCCAGGAGCCCTAGGGAAGAAGTTCGGAAGCGAACAAACACACACATCGGTCCAGTACGAATCTCGCTGCTTCGCGAGGAGTTGCAGAAGCTCGCTGTGGAATTGAAGGAACAGTTGGACCAGGCCGCGATTCGGGGGTCGCTTGGACGGCTGTGCCTTCCGGGTGGTTGGTAAGGATGCTGAAAGAGAAGCCCGGCAAAAACGGAAGAAGGCGACGGCAAGGGCGGTTGATCACAGTGACTTTAGAGATCAGCCCTCATACAAGCAAACAACTTGGACACTCACAGAATTGTAAAAGGAGTACTGGTACTTTTCCGTTGTTCGGGCGGTGATGAGACATCCTATAGTTGATTTACTTGCATCAGTATGATTCAACATCGCATATGCATGCATATGCAATATAGTTCTAAGTTCTGAGACACCTCTCAAAAGTTGCGTAAAATGGGTCTAAAACTGCCGTCCCTCCCCACCTTCCCCAATCCTATTGGCCTTCAGCCCAAACGTCACACCATGAAACACCTCGGATGTGTCAGGCGCCGTGCCACCTCGGTCCTGCCCCACCGACCGGGTGCGTCCGCTTGATGGAAGCCGTTCGCTAGGAGTACACGGCACTGATGGCCTCCATTGAGGAGATCCAAGCCTTGATGGAAGCCGAAGTGGCAGGCGGGGGCGATGGGCGGCTGAGGCTGCGGAAGTTGGAGCTTCCAGGTCTTCGAAGGGCCCACATCGGTCGGCAAATGCCATGGCATCCGTCGACGTGTGCCATGGATTCTGTGTGCCCCACAGGTCCGCCAGGGCAGGGCCAGGTGTGTGCCAAGCTCTCGAGATGGTCGAGATGGAGTGTTCCCAGCAACGGCTCTTGTGCAAGGCGGCCTCTTAATCAAGTCTTTATCATGCATCACCGATAAGTCTCTCTTAATGTAGACTCTTGATTCATCAACATCATGAACCCCGCATAATATCAGGGGGTTATTATGCTTGATTCATCAAGAGTCTCCATACTGACTGGTGCCGGGGCCGTAGGGAATGTTCGGGAAGCAACGAAAAGCCCACAATGGAGATTCCAAACTGGATCCAGCCACCCTCCACGCCTGCGCGTCTCTCGTCACGGTAGACGCGGATATAGGCGATGCGCGGCTGCCGTCGGTGGAAGAGCTTGAAGGCTTCGTGGCCAGGAGACCGGTGAAAAAGGGAACAGAACCGTCAATCCAAAGGTTTTTTTATTTTAATCAATGATGTGGCGGATATTTTTTGATGTGTGGGCCATCGTTTTTTCCTTTTTTTTAACAAACCATCTTTCCCAGATGCTCGCACCGAATCCAGGTGCTACATGTTGCTTCGGTCCAAAACCCGAGCCCAACAGCTTGGGTCAAAAGCCTGATCCCAGACTGGGAGCCTAGCCGAGCTGGGTTCTGTTTATCTTGCTCTGGTTTTCTTGTACTCTGACCGTTCCAATGAACACCCTGCAAACTGCACTTTGTCAGTGGAGATGGAAATGGTGGGGAAACTGGATGGTCCCAGGTGCACTCACTGCGATGGCTTCCAAGAAGTTTTTTGCAGCACTGCAGCACGGAAAGCGGGATGCGCTACCCACGTAGCGTAAGGGGTTTATCTAATAACTTTCTGTTTTGTTGGGTTCTGTTCATCGTTAGCAGGACCTGGGGGGGTTCTAGCAGCGTTCGGGTTTTCCAGAGGCTGTTGATCTTGGTTGTAGAAGCGTATATTAGGGTCGCTTTGATGAGAGGAGTGACGCTTGGTTCTGCTTGGATTTGCTTCGGTTATTGGGTTGGTTGTCCTTGTTCCTTTATGGATCCAACACATCTCCTCAGGTTGTTGGGTGGAGAACGCACGTCGTTAGTTTTTTCTTCCCAGAGGGTATGTACGGTATGTAGATGTTCATGGATGTTCCACCTCGACCATGCATGCCAGGGGTTGGCTTCCCTAGGTTTTTCTGGAGGGTAACCCATCAAAGGAAGGTCCGGGTGAGGCTTGATATTTGCTTGTAGTGCTAGAGAAAGTCCATGCTATGGCTCTGTTGCCGCCGCTTCTCCAGGATTGATCGGGCTTTGGCTACTTGGCCAAGTTCGGCTCCTCCCATTGATCCAGCCGCTTGACGGAAGTGGCTGAAAAAGCGTCCCAACAAAAAGCCTTAAGACCTGCCTTGCAGTGGGGCAAATGATGGATCCCACAATTCAGCGATCATGCCGTCTAGGGGTAGTCCAGAGCTCAAACCTGCGGCAGTCCAGGGATCCCCCAACTCAACCTCTGAGGCGCCTGAGCACCGAGCACCGAGTGCTGGTGCAGGCTGTGCCGGCGCGGAAGTGGTGGAACCGAAGGGAGGCAGTGATCGAAGTTCTGCCTCTTGAAGCAGTGAAGCGAGGATTCAAAAGTTCTGCTCCCATGGGTTGCAGCAACCACTGCGAACAACCAACAAAAGGTAGATGTTTTTGCTTGCATGGGGCGCGGGGTACGGGGTACTTAATGTTTATGTAGATGCAATCAGATTATGGCTATGGTAGACAACTTATGACACTGTGGTATGTGGTATACAGTATACATATTATATATATTATGTATAGCGTTATATAACAATATGATATGTAAGAATTCGTTCACGCTCACAACTCACGACATTGATCGGTGAATCCCTCCCTTTCGATCTTGTGTTCCGCACACTCAGGGCTGGCGGGTATTGGAGGTTGGATTAAGATGGCTGGTTTCTCACGGGCTGCCGGGGTGACCAGTAGAAGATGTAGAAAGGTGAAATATGTGGATGAAACTCCTGTTTGCCTTCAGACACCAAAGCCTTAAGATGTTGAAGCTGTTAGTTGGACAGTTGAGGATGCTCGTGAGGACTGAGAGAGGAAGGGCAGGAGATCATTCGCCCCCTCTGAGACACCAGCTGTTGGTCGCATTTGACTTGAGATGATCCTGGTGGTCCAGCTTTGTTGGGGGCGACTGACATGATGTTCTGGCCAGCATAGATTGCTTTATTGTACAACTTGCAAGGTCCAAAAGTTCTACACAGAGTGTGGCAGTTCTTCAACTAGTGCTGCCTGATCCCACTAGTGGTTTTCATTACTGTAGTGACATACACCCTAGAAGATCCACAGGGAAGCTGCCAACCACTGGGTTGTAGGGGAAAAATCATCTTATGTTCAGGTTCCAATCATCCCGGGTGTGCCTCCCTGAGATCCCCCCTGGCCTTCGGCCACGGCTCGGCCAAACCTCGACAACCCCAGACTTCGGGAGCCAATTGGATCCCATCAGCGGAAGTGCAGGGAATCAATTGGATCCCATCGGTGGAAGGGATCACATGGTGTGAAATGACTGCTGTATGATCTCCTGTATAATTCCTGTGGATTCAGGACACTTCAGGTGATTCAGGTGTCTTCAATGGTTTTTGTCCGTGTTTCTCGATGTGTATCCATGGTGTGTTAGCTGTGTACACTTCAGGTGGTATTTGGGTCCAGTGGATTCTACACCCGAGCAGCGTTCTAAGTTCATCCTTTCTTTTTTAGTCAGGGACCGGCGAAAAATAAGTGAAAACAGTGACTAGCTGATGTTTGTAAGGTGTCCGTAAGGTTTGCCGTAAGGATGTGCAGGTTTGAACGATGCCGTAAGGCTACCGGAAGCGAAGTTTGTTTACTTTGATTCTGTGTGCTTTCCTGTTTTGCAACAACATACCAAATGTGACCACAGTGGACTTGCATACCTCCGCCGTAAGCACAACAAAAGAATAGCCATGCATACATGCGCCACGTAAGCAAAACATAGAAAAACGTAAGCCTTGCGTAAGGCCTACCGTAAGGTTTGATTTCTCGGCAAGAAAAGACAACACCATTTTGAACACCGCTCACCTGACCTGGGCCGGCAGAACAGACGGAACATTGATTTATGTAGTGATTTATGTAGTGATTTAGGTTTCAAGAGTAGATCGCACTTGCACCCCAAGCTGTCCTTTAGATGAGGGTCTATATAAACCACCTAAACTTGGGGATTGTGCCATCTACTCTCAACCTACTATACCTGGTCATCGCAGTCCTTTCATTGGCATCCTCACGCTTGGCGGGCGAACTGGCGCGCTCGGCGGGCGGCCTTAAGGCTTGCGAGATTGACCTGTGGCTGGCAGCTGGGCTTTTACAAAATGAGGGCCCAGGGTCTGGTGTGATGTTTTCTTGGGGGGTCTTCACAGGTTCATCATATAATATAATAAACCTTTGTTGGAGGTCTGCAATGTCTGGGCCAAGTCACACAGGGCTTCTTTGAGTTGATTGAAAAGGAAGGGACAAAACAACTTCAACTCGTGCAATGTGGCTTTTGCACAGGAGATTTGGGCTCGGAAGGCTAACTCCCCTTCCACTCGTGAAGCAAACCACGTAGGTCATGAGAAGGCGTGTCACGGTCCAAGGAAGCTGCTCTTCTAGTGGACCAACGCACCGTGCAGAATCCCTGTGGGCCCTGACACACCCGGACGCCCACGACGCCAACGCCTCCTTTTCCAGTGCGCCCTGACGCACTCACTGAGGACGCAGCGTTAGAGATTGGAGAGATTTATCCCCTCCAGGCAGCTTTGTTTGGCATCAAAAGAGACACATTGGGAGGTGCTGGTTTAATTCGGAGACAACCAACCAAGGGGTAGACTTGTCTATTTTGCTTCTTCCAGGGGGTCGAACTGGGAGGTCTCCTATTTTACACACCCAAATGTCAAACATGTTCCTTCTGGTGCCTGCTCAGCAAATCCAAGTTCTGAACCCTCCATTGGTATTCGAGGGAGCACACTGGTGGTTGAAGAGGGTGGGACCCAGGTGGTTTGCTCCATTGGCGATGTTGAGATCAATTTCGAGCACTTTCGGACTCCATTTGTCATGTTTGGTCACTGCAAGGGTTCTTCATGAGACTCGTTTGAGCCATCTACCCTCAAACGAAGACCACTGTCAAGGGACTGGAGATCTTTCAGCTAGAGTTGGTTTACCAAGGTTGGAGTTGGATTCTGCCTATCTTCATTAAGTTTGGATGATATTCTGGATGGGGAAAAGGGTATACCGTTTTCTTTCATCAACTAGTATAGCGGGACATTTAGTATCTGCTTTAGTCAACTTTAGTCTCAATCTCAATGCTGTTCGTTTATATAAAAAGATGTTTAAAGACACCTGTCCAGCCAGAAGCTGTGAGCTTCACTCTCCTTTCGGAACCCAACTGACACCTCCCGCCCCTCCGCCAGACCCCACCAGCGCCCAGCGTCGCTGTACTGGTGCCTGAAGCGTGTCGAAGAGAACGGCCTCGTTGGGCGGTGCCTTGGCAGAGATGGATCCCAATAGGATCCAATAAGTACCTGAGAAAGTTGTATAGTTTTTCTCTGAACACGATAAGCCCGAAATCACTCTTAGTTGAGCCTTTTTTCAAGTTCAGACACCAGGACTTGAACTCCGACTCCGACGACGCCGCAGCCCCCGCGGCGTGCGCGGCGTCGCTGACGCTGTCCGCGCCGGCGGTGGCGGAGTGTGCGAGGCGGTGGCGGAGTGTGAACAGTTGAGTGTAGCTTAGTACGAGTGGCGCGGCCCGATCCGATGCCAACGCCCCGCTCAGAGCCTCCGATTTCAGGAATCGATTGTTTGATGTTTGATAGCTGAGGCTGATCACGTGGGTCATCCCGGTCATCCACAAACAAACGGTCCTGGAACACTATCATTAGACCCACAAAGACGGACGCCTGGGCTTTGACGCCTTGAATGCCACCAACTCCGGCCGTCCCCACTGCCTCCCCCAAATTGGCCGAACCCCCACCATCGCTTTTCCTCTGAACGTTTTCACCGCGGCGGCGGAACACGCACCCTTCTCCCCGCGTGGTCGCAGGTGCCAGCGGCTCCTCACCAAGAGCTCCTTTAGCCGCCGCAGCTGGCGTCAGGCCGCAGCCGGCGGAATGAGTGGGTGCCGGCGCCGGTTGTCGGCCAGTCGTGCCCTTTTTTGGGCGTTTGGCGCCATCAGACCCGCTCAATCTCCCCATTCCTCGCGCCGACGTCGCCAGGTTCGGGGCAAAGGCGCCTTGGGCCAACGGCCTGTGGATCGCGCTTGGTGTCGCGACTGTGGCAAAGCCTGAGGATCTTAGGCATGTGTTTTGGTCCACCCAAGCAGCCCGAAGGGGAAAGGAGGGATAAGGAAGGCGGGCCAGTGGGGTAATAGAGTCGCAGAATGGTTAATTAAGATTTTAAAGTGAAACAAGCTGAGGTTCCCAAATAGCTCAGCCACACATTTTGAAAGGAGTTTTATCAGATCACATTCTATCGTATTCTATCATACTCTATCTACTTGGTGGTTTCACAAGACCTGAGCCCACACATCAAACAGTGAGGTCTCAATCATTGAAATTGTTAGTTGAAACCAAGCTCGTCAAGGTATTTCCTTAACCCTCCAACAGTTGCTCTTCATCCAGAGGTCGCTTCCACAGAGCAGAGGTCCAGCACCACGGGGAGCAGAGGTCGACCATGATCGACCCACAGATCCATGACTTGCATGGATTGATTTCCCCGATCCTTCGGCAGAACTTCAGCCGTAGACACAGACATCGCTTGAGACCTCGCTCGGGAGAAAGCGGCTCGAGCTCCGATCTGGGCCTCTGGACGAATTCGACGACGACTCGTGGCGTCGAGACCCGTGTCCAGCACCGTGGCGACCGGTGCCGGACCGACCCGTGTAACTTTTTGCACCGAAAACGCCTTCTGTGGGCCCTGCAAGTCCAGGAAACGCCCATGTGGAAACACACACGACTAAGGTTTTTTGTTGGTCCAGTCACTGTGCAGGTCATTGCCCTGGTTCCGAAGAGTTCAAAAGCTCCTGATCTGCAAAGCCCTCCAAACTATTCCAAATTGCCTGGTTCCTATAGAGATTATTGAGGGAGTCACGCAACTAAGATCCACCGCGTTTAGTTTTCCAAATAGTATGTTGGTTGAGAAGACAGCTGAACTGAATCAGGGGCGACCTCGACTACCAGGGCACCATTTGCCTAAGAAAAACTGGCAATTTTCATGTCCTCCTTCCGAAGCTGAAGGAAATCAACTGTTTCACTGACCTACCTTACTTTGAAGAGAAAAGCATGGAAAGCTCAGTCGACACTGACTCTGCTGGGCGCGCCGTGAACTGGCCGGACAAACGAAGGGGAGCGGTTTGGCTGAAGGGGTGAACTAAAGGTTTCATGAAAGACATGTTTACTGTTTACCAGCACTTCCTGCTAGGATAGGGTAGGATAGGGGTGCCCATTATATAGATCCCATTGTTTCACTGTCACTTGGAAGTTTAAACCACTCCGAAGATTTTTTGGAATGGCTACGGCATTTGGGAGATTTTGTGGGAAGATATGTGTTGCACCAACAAGCCCCGTTTGGTCTGAAGAAGAGGTGCTGAAATCTTCGATGTCCACTCCATTTGCAGCAACTGACCATCGCGTTGGCGGCCATCGGCGATCGGCCCAGCGTTCGGGTGTTGGAGGCCATCAAGGACACCGAGAAGGCGATGCGGAGTGGGCAAAACGCCATTCAGGAGGCGGGGTTGGTCCCTCCGGGCGCGCGGTTGGTGCCGATGGTTCTCCTCAACTGGGTTCCTCGGTGGGGTCGTGTGCTGAAGAACTCGGTGTGTCGCACGAAAAGCGGGTTCTTTGGAACATTCTGCTGAGGAATTGGAGTGAAGTGGGATCAATGACATGCACACAAGGAACATGGTGGCAAAGGAAGCTGGCCTTGCGACTTTTCATGCGATGGTCCATTTCACGCGGGCCCAGGGTGTACCTTGCTTACGTAGCGCCAGAGGTCCTTGGTAGATCTGCGTCTCAACATGTCTCAACAACTCCGCAAGTGTCCCGGTCCGTTTCCGGACTTACCTATTTATATGCTATGCCTAACACTATGATGCCTGACTTTGGATCCAGGCGTTTTGCCAGGAATTCTGCAGGTTTTTTTCGCCCCACCTGCCCAAAGCCGTTGTTCGCTCAAGCTGAAGAGACGCTACGCTCGCACCCTCGCGGCAGGATGGAGGTCCGACGTCCGACGCGACGTCGTATGGTCGCGGGGTCGTGCCATCAGCGTGCGGTCGGGAGAAGATGGGACATGAATGACCGGAAAACTACGTGGAATATGTACCAATTGGTCTAAATATTATGACCGGCACTGGTGAGTTGAAGGGATTTGTCATCCTTTTTGGATGTCGACGATACAACCTTTAGTGGGGCATTAGGAAGCGCAAGATGACCCACATTGGCACATCCTCAGAGCGACCAAAAGGATCTCCAAAAAGCATTGCAACATTCTGACTTTGGTCCCTAACTGCAGAAGTTTGGACCAAAAGCTCCACTTCTGAGGGTTGATTTGATTCTTGGGGGGCTCAAAGCTACTGAAACATGCTGTGGACATCAGGACTCCCGCGACAGCACATGACGCTGCGACAGGGAAACGGATTGCACGAATGACGCGACGCGACTGTCCGATACCTACCGCGCCGTTTCGCCTACTCTCGTTAAACAAGATGTGAGATGTGTATCTTGAAGATTGGTTTCACCTGCTCCAAGGCTGGTGACCTCCGTTATATGTGAGGTTTCAAGGGATATAATGGCTGCAGAACCAATTTGTGATCACTGATCGTCCAATATATGGACAGGGTGCCAGTGAAATGAAAGACAGAAACAAGATCATATCTCTTGAGAAATGGTTCCTCATGATTTCTTTGGACAGCCTTCAAACCCTGGACGCTCACGAAACTAACACTTTGTGGCCCTTCAATCGGTGTACAATGAGTACCATGGCCCATCTCAGCTGACCCTTAAACTTCTGGTATTGTTCCAGGTACTTCCATAGGTCAGGTAGGACATGGACACCTAATCAGGTCGAGATTGGAAGAACCGGCTTTTGCGAATTAGTCGAGGATTGTGCCATACCATATCCCTGCAAATTTCAATGTAATATATACAGCATACAATAAAGGAGGCTTCTCCTTATCTCACATTCAAGATCAATCCGGAAACCTGGTGATCAATAAATAGGGAAGCATACTGGTCCTGTGGATCCTAGCACTTTCTCTGGGTGCTGCAGGACCTCTTGTCCAGGATGTAACACCAGCTTGTCAGAAGCTGCATTGTTGGAAGGGATGAGGTGTTGCCATAGACCGAGTCGACCTACAAACACATCTCACAGATTCCATGAGGTCATTGAATGTGTGCATTTTTGGAGCACTTGGCAGTCATTGGAGCTTCGTCTTGAAAGGAGCAATCGGCTTCCAACAACGCCCGAAACTCTGACTGCACCGCCTCACCGCTTCCACCACCTGGCACCGCCTGGCAGGCGCCTCCCCCGCCTCCACCGGACGACCCGCCGGGGCCTGCGATTGAAGTCACCTCGCTGGAGATGAACCCGGCCGAGGAGTGCGCCTTCGAGGCGGGTTGGTTCATGGGCGGGTTGGGGCGGAGTGGCCGAAGGAGGCGGTCGAGTTCGGCGGCGTGCGACCTGTGCGACTTGTGCGACTGAGTAAGACGTAAGAGTCCGTAAGAGTTCTTTTTTGTGTAGAATTCTGAATAGACGGGATAGATCTGAAAAGCGACCATCTTGCGAGATTTGCCGAGTCTGGTTGTTTTGCCGGCCACCCTGCCATGCATGCGGACACTCGGTGACAAACTCCAAGAAACAGATCTCTGCGCACTTCCCACAGGTCTCCAACCTCGGATATTCTTTTTTTGCTCGGAGGGGCGGGCCTTGTTGCTGGTGGCACCGCGACGAGAAGGAGGAAGGTGACCAGGTCATGAAGAGCTCCCTTAGTTAGAGGCATTTCGTGATAGCAATCGTCCAATTCTTTTTCAGGTGGGAGACAGGTGTGTTTTCTCAACCACCAAAGCTCACATCAAAGCTCATTGGTTCGCATGAGAGTACCAGCTTACTTCGTGGAATGTCAGGGTATCCTTTAGCAACTATAATGAATATGATCCTACACTTATAGTCAGTACCCTTAGTATTTCCTACATTTTGCTACAATTATTTTGCAATTTGTTTACAGAAACGCTGTCTTTTGCTGCCCTTAGTTCACCGTGTGACTCTAACAACAGGGTGGTTCAAGGCAGATAAAGCCACCAACCAAACCATCGAGAGGTTCATCTACCTCATTATTCTACACACTTTTTGGCCGGCTTTGGTGCCGGTGGTTGGGTGGGGGTCCCGTGCTAGATGATAGAGACATTGATCAAAGACATGTCTTATTTCGGCGGAAGTTCCAGTCGTCACGCGATCGGGCGCGGCCTGTCACATCCACGGCCCCTGGATGGGACGACACACCACCCCGGAGCTCTATGTTCGCCTGCCACCGGATGCCACGCCCAGGACGGCTTGGGCCTTGCCATTGGTTTTACCTCAGCCCCTCGGTGCGATGCGCAAATGCGGCGCAGGTTACGCGGTAGCTTTGTTGAGACGCAGGGCGAGACCCTATGGGATGGGAGTAGGACATATCTTTGACATATCCTGATATATCATGCACATGCATATCATAAAAAAATCATGTTAATGAGGGGTGGGTAGGGTGGGTGGGCATAGTTATATATATATTATATAGATAGATATAGAGTTATGAGTGATGATGACATTGCGTGATTTATTGGATGGACCGGGATTCCACATTGGCAGGTTCTACAGCAGCATGTTTGCACATGTATTTCTCCGCTTGGCTGGCCTTGTCAAAATCCCAAATGCCTGATACGTTGTTGTCTTACAAGATTGTTTTATATCACTTAATGCGATAGTTGGTATGTATAGAATATACTTAGGGTTTGTCCTATTACCTGTAACAGTCAGTAAACAATTAATAACTCTTTTTGAACTGTCGGCCTGCAACCTAAACCATCATCCACGATGAACGGATCGAATAGGCCCAGGATAGATAGACTCAGACTCGCCAGAGGACGCAGAACGGCATGAGAAGCAGGGGCCGATCCGGGACGGACTGGGTGTCACCGGGCAGAGGACCAGGAGGATTCAGGAGGACAATGGGAGGGATGGACCATGGGGAGTGAACAGGTGGACATGGAACAGTTGTGTAAACATCTACTTGATGTATGACCCAAGCAGCTAGAAGGTATCTTTGCAGGCTTCCGGCGAATGAAGTGGTGTTCACTTCATTCGCTTCGTTGGCCAAAGACTTTGGCGGTCCGCCTGAGGACAGCCCTTTGTTGGGCTTCACTTGGAGAATCAGCCAGTCTCGGCTCGCTTGGAAGGTTTGCGAAGAAAGGGCCTCAGACCGGCGGGACACTGGAAAAGGAGTGTTATATTTTTTTCTGAGCAGAAAGGAGCATGGCTCTGGGTCATAACCGGAAAAATAACACCTGGTTGACTACTGAAAATGAACAGAAACTAAGAGGGAGGTCAACCTGGCAGGGTTTGGGGCAGTCTTGCGCAGCATGTTCGGTGCTTCGACGACGCGTCGCTAGACTATATATAAAACCTTTTGGTTGGGAATCTCCCTATTCTGTTCCAATTCCACTTGGGTATGTCTCAGATTGAAGCCCTAAAAATCGCTTAATTCGGACAACCCCCTATGGGCAGCAGGCAAGATCCAAAGAATATCACCGGCAGAAAAGCAGGCCAGCGGCAAGAGCAACGCTGTTGGTGGTTCGTGGTTCCACTAAACGAAAGCGGGTTTCTTTGTCTACCATGTTAGAAACTGTTTGGAACCACAAGTGACCTGCGTGGTCACCGTGGTCACTAGAAGTAAACCCTACAGGTCCAAAGACCCAGTAAATCCTTGACCTCATCGAGCCATGTTGTATGATCAACTCCAGTCAAACGGACCTGTAGGGAAAGCTCGTCAAAGCGAAATCACCCCCGACTCGTCGACTTGTCTGAGAGGAGGAGGATCAAATTTGGAGGTCGACTCGCCGACCCTTCGGAGCTTCGGACCTTGGCTCATGGCGGACGGCTAATGTCCATCCCAACTCATGAACTTGGTTATGCTTCATCCCAACTGATGGTGATGTTCCCGGTTTTTGTGGGGGAATCCTCTGGGGATTGTTTATAACATCATTTTCCCGGTTCCTGGACAATCGAAGTGAAACGACCACAAGACCAAGAGGGTTATGTGACGACTTGCGGGATAGGCAAGCTTAGTTTTGAAGTCTTCCCCAATCAAAAGTCAAAGGACCTGGCTTCGGGACACTATTGTGTCATGAATCGTTTCCCCCCAACACAGACAGACAGACAGACAGACAGGCAGGCAGGCAGACAGACAGAGACCTTGCTGACGGCGCCAGGTTATGTGGTCGATACTGCAAAGAGACGGTATATTGTTCAGGCACGGAGATGGGGCATCGGCGGAATCGGCCATTGGGCATCGACCAAACGCATCGTAGTGGTACTATACATATGGGATGGTGTATTGGGTTGTCAGTGGTTTTCAAGGCTTATACCATCGAATCGGTTTGTCCCAGAATTGCGTGTGGGAGATGGTGTGATTGCAAGAGCTTTGCTGATCTTATTTTTGGCGAGACCCAAAAACCTCTTTCTGCAGGGTTGTTTTAATGCGTCGTTCGGCACAAAGTTGATGCGACTACCTGACGACCCCGTGCGAAGCCGGGTCTAGCAGTCCGGGTCTCTATGACACATGGTTCCAGGCCATGGTTCCGACGCATGGAGCAAGTGGGATTTTCCAGTGGTAGGTTGGCACGCGTCAAAGTCTGACGTCTGGAGGTGGGGGGGAGTGAGGGAGTAGAATCGTGAGTTCTCCAGTTTTCCAGTGATTCAGTCCCTGAAGATCCCAACACCAGAGAGACACACATGATTCATGGCGGCCAAAGAGCGGTAGCATGTGGTAGCTGACACGGAGAGTGGTGCTGACACGGATGCCGCAGCACAAGCAACAACCTTGCATGCAGCAGTTAAAGGGTCCTTTTGACTGGTGCGATTGCTATTGGAGGCTGGAGTTAACAAAGATGCCACAACACAAGATGTTCAAGATGGCAAGGCTGCTTTACATGCAGCCTTGGATTGGGCGGTCCAAACATGGTCGCTTATTTCTGACAGGTGCTTCTGGCGAGTGTGCGAACAGCTAACAAAGATGCCACAGCACAAGATGGCACGACAGCCTGGCACGACGGGCAGCCTGGGAGGACGTGACACGATGGCACAACGGATGGCAGCCAGGCAGCCCACAATGGCAAATTGTCAAATTGAGAGTGGTAACCATTGATGCGGACGCTCGGCTTGACCGAAATGATCATGGCAATGCAAAGGATGAACATGGCAATGCAGCGGTGCATGTAGCAGCTGACAATGGCCACTTGGGGTTGACCCAAGTGGTTTTGGAGAGTGGTGCTGACAACAATGCCACAGCACAAGATGGCAGATCTGCCTTGTATGGGGCAGCGGGCTGAAAGGTACTTTGAAGAGGTGCAATTGCGTTGCAGGCTTGGGGGTACGGGGATGACAACTGTCCAAGAGCTTTGCATGTTGCAGGTGCAACAGAGGACACTTAGAACACTTGATGTGATTGATGTGGGGTTCATCGGTCATTTTTGTCCGGTCTTGGGACGAAAGACTTGAACCTTCTCACCATCCAAAGCGTCCAGCTTTCTGCTTGCTATACCTCAATAAAGCATCCAAACAAATCCACACGAAGGACCTTTCACTGCCCAAACAGTCATTGGCCCACTTCACCCCTTTTTTCCCTGCACTCCCAACGCCTGAAGAGTCCTGCCGTTTTCAGACTCTGGGCATGCACAGCGGACGGTCTTTTGAACCAACACGGCGGAACCCAAACGACTTGGAACACACTTTGAGTGGCGACATGCATTTTTTTAGCCATTCCGACATGTTCTCTGAACAACCACTGTGTAAGATGTTGGAACCTTTCTGCATCCAGAACTCACCCAAGCCTTGGATTTCTCACCAATTCTTAGATCCCTAGGGAAGGATGCTAAATGTAGACCGTTCATAAAACTATATGCTCCCCTTACCAGGATGCTCCAACCTCCTTCCGCAGGGTGTTCTTCATCTATACCGTCCATGAGCATCCCACCTTCCACCGCCCCCCACCCGCCCCCCACGGCCCTCCCCGCACCAACGGCCCGTTCCACGTCTTTGCTCCGTGGCGCGCGCGCGGCGGGGCGTCGCTCGCTGCAGGTGGGGCAGACCGAGCCAGCGGACTATGCGCCGGGGCCGAATGCCGCTTGGCGCCGTTCGGTGGGAGGGGCACTGGGTGTGGACACAGCTGTGGATACCCAAGCTGCGGAAGGAGGCCATTGGATGGGGTATGTATTTCAATAGGGATGGGTTGATGGGTTACAGGATGTTAGGTGGTCTATGTCTATGTTGTTTCCTTCTTCCCGGGTAACTGGGCAATTTTCCCTGGTTCAATGGATACTCATGCATACATATCCTGCAATTGGTGGACATGATTTGTTGTGATCGACATTGAGTTGGCCAAGTGACATGAAACGAAACATAGTGGTTTCGGAAAGGGTCCCATATATCAGGGAACCATGGCTGACTTGGTGTTGCTACTATTTTCCTTATGGGTGAATCCCCTTGTAGGGAATATTCTTTCTGGGTTCCTTGAGCGTCCTTGAGCATCCTTGAGCAAATCCAAGTTGAAGGTATGAGTTTGTTGCATTGTCCCGATCAGTCTCGTTGAGAGCAATTTGCTCCCACCTACAGAAAGTGTTGAGCTCCCTGCGAGGACACAGAGTAGATGCCACAAACCGAGCATGTTGGATGTCCGCATGGACCATCCGGGTATGTATTAGAAGAATAGCGGCAACCCTCTGGTAAAAGGAACAGATACGCTAAACCCAACGCATCCATCCTTTCTTTTTTCCCACCATCTATTGGGTTTGTCCTATTCCCTGTAAATACCTGTAGTGGTTGGTAAACTAAGAACAACACTATCGAGAAAGGCCATGATACCCAAGCTATCATGATCCACTGAACCCTGGTCATGGGATATACCCGTTACTCAAGCTTTGAACTTACACAACCAACATGTTTTTGAGGGTTGCTGGAATGCATCCGGGGAGGGCTTCAGAGCCTGGGACATTTGTTTCACAGTCAGTCACCCGTTCAAGCCTGATCAGAGCTGAGCGCTGTGGAGCATTGTGTTCGTGCCAGGCCATGACTTACCTGGCAGAAGGCCTCAGCATCGAGGAAGTGCCAAAGGCTAGGCCATGATGGAGAAGCCAGAGCTTTAATATATAGTCTGTTCTTCATACAGCAGTTTGTTCTTCCTTGAACCAGTGGCTTAAGGCTCCTTATGGCGCCTTCATGCCCGAAGTAGACATCCCCCCCTGCAGGCACATCTTTTCAAACCTCTCAAGCTTGAGAAGACGTTTCTGATGAGCGATCATTGCAGATCGGTTCCCAAAGAGTTCCAGTCAAACGACCAAGAATTCTTTTTTTTAGTACAGTGGTTTCAGAAATTCGATGGCACTGGCACCCCAATGTCGGGGGTGCAAATATGGACCTCTATTTGTCATCCGGACATCTTGATCCTCTGAAACTATCTGAAACCACTGTGATGTGGGATTTGGTGTTGGAAGGTGTGGTGTTCCATCTTGATATCATTTGACATCGGCATCATGACGACCACGATTCATGGGACTGGCATTCACAGTTTCCTATGACATTGAACCCTTTTCAACCGCCCCAATTTGAATGATAAAAATGTGTATATTATTATGGCAATTTCCTTACATTTGGTTCTGTTTTCGTTACATTTGGGCGCTGGGGGTTGAGGATGTGTTGTGGTTCAACAGCTTGGGCTCTCAGGATCTATAGCCTCACCCATTTGGAAACAGGAGCACCACAGATTCCAAGGTTATAACCACTTATAAATATAACAGCAGTGTGCAAACATGTTCAAAGACTATGTTCCACGGTGAGAGAGCTTAATGGGTTCAGTGCTGCCATGGTTCACTAGCTGCATATTGCTATGCTTGCTGGGCATGGCAGAAGAAAGGAAGCTGTTTTTACAGCATGTCAAGAAAACGATAGAGAAAGCGAAACCAAAAAAAGGGAAATGCAGCTGTGTGAAAGAACAGCCATGGTGCACAATGAAAGTAGATTGAGGACCATTGGGTCTGAGAAGTCAGAACGATCTGCTTGGATGGCATCCTTGAAAGGATGTGAAAGAAGTGAGTCATCGAGGGGCTCCAAAAACCAAGCATTGGCTGAGCCAGCCCAACGATCAGTGAAGTCCTTCATTTGTGATTTCTCAATCCGTTCCATTGAGAATTTCTTTACAAGGGCATCAATGACTGGCACAGAGTCTGCCACAGTTCGAAAGCGACCTCATTATGACAATCGTCTCCGACGCCTCAACTGCATCTCTAAATGGACTCGTCGATCGTAGCTTGGTATGCTCTTCAGATTTGTTTATTAATAAGTTTTAAATAGTCTCAAACTGAAAGGATTAGATGAGTTTAAGTGTCAAAGGGAAATTACAGAAAGGGGAATCTTCCTGAGCTCAGGCAGAGTTTGAATGGCAAGAGCTCTATGCGAATCCAGAGGCTTTTCCTGCAAGCCTGTCGCTGCTCCAAGCAATGCTTTGAGCGGCTTGCAAAACAGCTGGACGAGTTGGGCAAGTTCTTGGAGTTGTTTTGGAAACTGGGCAAGCTACAGCAGGATACCTATGTGCATACCTGAGTTGCCAAAGAGTAGTCATTGTTTCAACTGGGGTTTGTTTTGTTTTTGGGTGAAATCATTGTTTTGTCAGACCTTTTTGGAGTTACTGAGTTGCTACTAAGTTGAATGAGACGCTGCGAGTTCCAGATTCTCAAAAACAAGTCAGTCGCGAGTGGCAAATTCTGGGCCAGCTATCGAGTTCGAAATGTATTGCAGCTGTCCTTGGTGTGAATGAGAGGCGGCTCTCTCCTGCTGGCATGGTGGATCGGCGATTTAAATGCACAGGTGCTGCAACTCGGTGTGTTCAATAATTACACGTTGTTACACCTTTTTCTATGAGTATACTCTTTCTTTCTGTTGACAGATTCCGTTCGGTATGGTCTGGAGTGTTTCTCTCAGGTGTCAGTGCGTGATGCTACTAAAGCGCGGCTCGTGGACGACTTCTTCTTGGACATGTATGTTTTCTGTGGTGGTTTGCTTCCAAACAAGTTGTTCGGCCTCTATAAAAATATAAGAATTGGACTTGGAAAGAAATTGAAATGAGGTTTACAGGATAAGCCTTCCTTTTGTTGAGAGAACCCAGGTTTCAGCGGAGAGGCCTACAGAGACGAGGTGCTCCAGGATGCACTGATTTGTCCATGAGTGCATTTCTTGGCGTTCCATTCAACGATGAGGAGCAGCGTTCTTCGACTGAGTTTTCAGGTTTACAATATCAAGGAGACCTCCATACAAACGGGTCACTAGAACCAGTATTGGCACCATGGTAAAACCACTAGTCTGAGTCGTGAATAGTCCCAGGTGACAGTGACAGCTCGGACAATGGCGAAGATGGCGAGCTCACGTTTGCAAAAGAGCGCATTGAGGACGACGAAGAACTACGATTGTTCTGCCTTGGAAACCAAGCCAACTTCAAACGGAGACTTTGGTAAAATCTTGAGTTTGTATTATCATTGCGCAGACCTGGTTTTACACACACACACGAATGAAATATAAGATGGTTTAGCACTGAGGATGATCGAGACAAACTGGGGAGATACCGTTTCTCAGCTTCCTTATCGAATTCTTCCACCAGGAAACCTGAAAATGTTATGGCTACAAATGCGTTCTCGATACACCGTATCGTAACATGGAAAGATTTCAAGATGATTTGATGCTGTGCAGCTTGATATCAAACGTGTGTATTGAACAAGACCTCCTGGCCAAAGGTATCATACGTTCTGGCGAAGATTCAAGGAGAAATGGACTCATTGTCTGGGTTTTGTCACTATCACATCGCAATTGGCATGTGATGATTGTTTGGAGTTCAAAGAAGCATACAGATTGGCACGTGATTCATGGCTTGAATTGTTGTTCATTAATGGGCTGAGCCAGCAAAAGATACAGGTAGTCTAATGCTGAATGCTCAGGACCTTCAATCGAAATACGATGCTGTTAGATGCTACAAGAGTCATATAGACGGTGTGAAGAAAGATCGCGCTTTGGAAACGCATCTGATGGTTGCTTGGCCTGGTCATGGTACGATATATTCGCAATTATTTGCATTGGGCAATGTCGTGGAGCTTGATTAAACATATGCCTTCGTTAGGCTTTGGATCCCAATAGTGGCCAGCCAGAGAACAACACTTTGGTGCTGATGTGGGAACCTGGGGCGCAAGAAAGTTACACACAAAACAGTCTTGAGTCCTGAGGCTAACTTAAACCTGAAACATGTTTGGTGGGACATTCTGAGGATGGAATGGATCAGAGTAAATGGGCGGTGCCCAGATTTCGTGGTCATATATTGACGAAGGAGTTGGGCAAATACCAAAGACCGAAGCTGAAGCTCCATGGCATTTGGGCAGCGAACATAGGTTTGTATTTGTTCCTAATCGATCCACGACAGACCGCTGACTCAAACCTGATCGCTGAATCTGCCGCGATTGTGTTGGAGAAAGTGAAGGAGCGGCTTGGATCTCAAATGCCGCATCACCTAGTCTGTATCACAGACAACACGGTTCGCGAGAATAAAAACAATGTAATCCTTGGATTACTCAATGTGCTCACATCCAGAGCAAAGTTCAGAACAGCGACCCTGGCATGTGCCAGGGTCGGACACACACATGGTCCACTGGGAACCTCGACCTGTTGAACCCTCCTTTGCTTTTTGCTTATAGTTTATAGTTCTGATTCTGTGGTGACGACAAACCATGAGACGAATAGCTTTAGCTGTTTCTCCCAACTGTCAATGCATCTAAGACCAAGTGTTTGGGCTGATTGCAGCTGGAATGAAGTATGTGGACTGTTTGAGTGATATGCAAGATGCGTGTATGTATCCTGTATGAATTCAGAAACCTGTCTAAGTTCTGATTGGGAACGGGCTATAGTTTGCCTGACTTTCTGGACGACTAACAAACGTGCCAGGAAGCTGGGGCAACTCCTCAAATCGCTCAATCTGCGGTCTTTTCTGGGGCCACAAGCTGTCGTTGAGATCAGTTCTCTCCACATTGCACGAGATTGGAAACTGTGGTTTCTAGGCTGCAGTTAGGTCAGAAATATGTAGTCTCACAACTCTGCTGATCCTGCTACAAGTGTATCAGTTTACCCCTCTCAGGCTCCAGCAAACACGGATCAGCTTCGCAGGAGGACTAAGGGATGACTGCTCAGGATTGCATATGTTCATCTTTATCAAACGGAAAGGCTGGGAAGCATCATGTTTTTGAACGCAAACTAAGGTGTGATTGGAATGTTACACCTCTAAAGCTGATCCATTCACGTCTGTAAAGCTGATCCATCATGAGCCTCCCCTCTCAGACTTGCCAACCTCGACGCGAGTGGAGTCCTCTGGTCCTGCAGCGAGGGGCTTGCCAGCGGACCCAGAAGATGTAATTTGCTTGAACAAACGCTACATGTCTGACCAAGAGCTTGTTCAGGCCAGGTCTTTCATGCAGTAGAATTGAGCAACAGGTATTACTAGTGTCTACATTGTTCTGCAAACTGAAATGTGGCAGGTGCCAATACTGACCTTACCGATTTCCTTCCTTGAGCGTTTGGTTGGTGGGGTGCCGTCTGCTGTTCGAGAAGTGTCACCACCACTGCGAGAGAGATGCACTAAGTGGATTGATCTAGCTGATGTGCTTTCTGCACGTGTTCCAACTGAGAGCACAAAAAAGGACTGTTGAATACCTTCTTGAGCTTGCTACTCAAGCCCTTCCATCCCAGGCTTCTTTGCTGCCACCTTTGGTGTGGTTGAGGTCTACAGAATCTGTGGACACGATTGATCTAGGAATGCCATCAACTCTACGTAAGTTGGTGCCAGCCATGCATTTTCGTGCTAGCTTGAGGTGATGAGTTCAAAATAGTGTTCAAACCTGGACACTCCCCAGGACCCAACGCACAAACACTCCTGGTCGTTTCATAGGCAATGTGCTGATTGAAAGCGTTGCATTCCTCAGAAGCTGTCTTCTTGGTGGCTGTCGCTAAAGAAGGCTCGAAACAAAGCCAGCCTTGCCTTGGTTTTTTGTTGACCTCCTCCTGCCTTGGAATCTTGAACGCAGCAAACTACAAATTTTAAAGACAACTGATGCTATTATTGGCACTGAGCCAAGGAATGGGATCTGATGGTGGTAATAGCACTGGTATGTCATCAAAACATTATCAGGCAGGGGCAAACCTGAAGAAGGAATGCATTGATAGGAGAGGATACCAAACACATTGTCTAGACCAACCCTCATAGTTTCATACTGTTGCAAAAAAACGTCTAGCACAAAGGTTCATAGTGACAATTAGTGTATGGTGGCAAGCATTGTTGCTATACTATGCTTTACATACATCTCCACAAACACAACAAAACAGGAGCACATATCATTGGATGTGGTGATCCCTGACAAGAACGACGTGAGTTTTTGGGCGCCTTGGCTTCGGATCAAAAATAGAGAAATTGTGTGGCATATAGCGCAACGCGAAAAGCATAACTTACTTGTGATTTCCCAGGAAGACTCCCAACCGCCGGATCGCACACCGTCTCCATGGACATGGAGTCGCTATCGAAAATTCATGGATGGTGTCAATAATGTTCGACTTTCTTTGGAACCTGCTTCTAGGCTATGCTATTGGCCTTGTATGTTTGGGAAGGGGCGTGTATACTGACATGATGTTAAACTAGCTGAGGCTCATTTGGTCGAGTCTTCTCCAGAACCTGCTGGAGCTGTTGACACTTGTATGTGCAATCACTATTATACACTACATACAAACACCACTCCGAAGTGGTATGAAACTTGTTCTACACTAAGATATATCGAGAAGAAAACCAAAACCAATAAGTGTGTTTCTTTCTTCACTATCCAAGGTTCGAACAAAAAGGATACTATTGCCTTGCTACACTCCGCCGGCAAAGCTGAAAAAACACAAGGCGAGAAATCACCTTAGGTTAACTGTGGCCCCCGGCTCGCCTGACAGGCTGCGCAGATGAGCCCCTGGCAGGAGGCACACTAATTTGGTGCTGCTTATACCAAATTCAGCTCTAGACTGGATCTGTTTGGCCATGATAAGTCATGCCATTGCAGGAAAAACAGCGCCACTCAGAGTCTGAAGGTTTGGTATGTTGTAGGATTCCAGGTTTTGCATGGATGCTTCAGATTGAAATGTGTTGGTTTTGAGTCTGCAGCCAACCTGTTTCTAAGAACCGTAGAGCGTAGAAGACATGCGTCAGCTTTCTATGAAAGAAGCTGTCCGACTTGCAATCGCCAAACCCAAGAGCTCTCTCGATGGCAAGAAATCTCAAACCACTGTGAAGAATCTTTGCGTGTTTATCGTCTGATAAATTTTATTGTTTGATGGTGCCATGAGTGACTCACCTGATTGTTTTTGTCATTAAATGTCTAACTGACTAAGGAAGACCATATCCAAGATTCCCAAATGCACTCTCTTCAAGCCAGATGAGACTTTCCCGCTGGGTGGGAGCTCTATTGATGAGCTTTATCAATGGCCGGACATCTTCATTTCCTCTTTGGTTCGACAGTTTGGGAAAACACTAGTAGCAAGAA